CCTTCACTCAGCATACTTGCCTGGGTATTTACATAAACTGTTGCTGTTTCATATTCTTTATTTACTGTATAATTGAAGAATCCATACCTTTTATTGCTGAGAATGATTATAATATTGTTGGTGATGAATTTATACAATTATTTAAGGAGAAAGGGCCTTTTCATAAGACAAAAATCCACCTCCTAACATAGGTACATCTCCAAAGTGCTCATGACCAGATTGGGAAAAGGATTCAGTAGGCAAGAAAGCTTAGATTTCCAAGATGCTATAAGAGCAAGTTTTAAATATAAATTATTGAAGAGCTATGGGCAGCAGGGTGATTCCTCAAGCATAGTAGATAGGTCGGATAGTCCTCACCTCGTCTGTGGTGGAAAGTCTAAGTTTGCTTTGCAGGAGCCTCTTTGTCATGTTATCTGCTCCTGGGTCCTCTTTAGCCGAAGAAAGGATCCACTTAAAGCTGATCAGCTTTGTGGCTATTTGGTGTTTTATACTGGATGGGGCCACTGATGCACCAGTAGTTCATTTCACACAGGGAGAGGGTCCTCGGTGCTGTTCTAGACTAATCAGCATTTCCTTTCCAGAGCTCCCCTTTCCAGTCTGCTTTTCCTCGGAGCCACAAAGGAGGACAGAATTTGTCAAAATAAACGAATCCCATTCTGCCAGTAATCAGAATCACTTCTGGAGCTTTTAAGCAATGTATTCTTAGGGACCTTGCCCAGCGCGCTTATGAAGCACTCTCTCTTAGGGCAGGACTTGGAGACGTTTTTCAAAATCTCCCTTTGCTGCTCCAATTACACGGAGAACGTATGGAGGACACAGGTGCCACTCACTCCCCATCCTTACTATGTTTGTGTCACCTCATGAGGCAGAATCTTCTTCTAGACTCCAGCCTATTTTCACTATGGTAGCTGGCCAGTTACCACAGAAAACCTGTAAGGGTTTCCAGAACATTCATCTGGAGTGTAGAGGGGTTTCACTTTTGATACTCAGGTAGTATGAAGATGTCAGCCTGTGGCCCTGCTCAAAGCTAGTGCTCAGTGACAGACTGCTAACTCTGGCAACTACACTGTGTCCTGTGTAGCTGACTTAAATATAAACTGCAAAGTCTTTCTACCCAGAACACTGGTCAATGGGTCATCAGAGAACCCCGGGCACTCAAATGAGATTCTGGGGACAGGCAATAACGTGTGGTATGATGAGCAGTTGTCTACTTGGGGATGAAGGATGGTGTCTGTAACCAACTCCTACTCAAGAAGTCAGAGGCTGGAAGGCACACAGTTTTGTTTCCCTTTATTAAATCTGCTTCTGGGACCCAATAGAATTTTTTTTAAATCCTTCACAAAGAACACCTTTTGCAATCAGGAATATAGGTGAAATCCTTCTCCCTCTCTTGCTCTCTCTCCTCTCCTTTTCTTCTCTCCCTGTTCTGAGTGAGTCTCCAAGGCAGATCATTATCCAGGCAAAAGAAAGAGTGTGTGTGCTGCGGCCATCACAAGGAGGCCTGTGGGTTTGGGCCAGGAGCAGGAATTCCCCACACAGACAGCAAGTCGGCTGCTGGGGATGAGCTCGCCAGCTCTACAGAAAGCCTCTCTGTTCCCAAGCACTGAGGTGCCCACATGGCGTGCTCTGGAGGCCGCAGAAGGAGGGACGGTTTGAAAGGGGTGTTTTTTTCCCTAGAATACACAGTGATCCTATTTCCTTAGGGGTGCAGTAAAAACTAGCCATGAATAGATTGCCAAATGCAGCTAAAAGCCAGCAAGGATATTTATCTCCTCAGGCTGGAGTTGTTGGGATGGATCTCTGGGACCAACTTTGAATACTCAATAAATCAAAATGAAAGATTAAAATAAGAAAGCATTTGCTAAGCATGTTTGCAAAGAGCCCTTTTATATTGCTTTTTCTCCACTGTGATTTCACTGGCTTTTTAATCCAATAAGAAATGTTCATGTACTTGATGTGGGAAACAAAAACAGGAAAGGAAAAGGCAGCTGATTCTTAGAGCTTTGGTTCACTTGAGATTGCCAGGTAAAAGAAAATCCAATTACTAAATTTAAATTCATTTGTTTTATTAAGTATAAAACAAAAACAAAAACCCCAAAACATTCCCTCAGGGCACACGGATGCTTAACAAAAGAATCTATTGAAGTCTATTCTTTGATTCTGTTTCATTAAAATGTACAGACTGATTTCCTGTGAAGAGCAAGGAAGCCCCATCAATAATGTTAACAACTATGAATACTGTGAGCATGTGAGCTGACAGAATGTACAGCGAGACAGTTGCCAGGACCTAGTCTCTGGTGTCTAATGTGAAAGTACCTTAGTTGTTTAGAGAAAGATATTGCACAACAAAGTTTAGGAGGTTCTTTCTAGTTTAGGAGTTGCCTGTTGCTGTAGCTTGGCCTAACCCTCTGGACAGCAGAGAACTCTCTGCTTTTGCAAAAGCACAATCTGGGGCCTGGTTATCTCTTCTGAGTCCAAAGCAGATAAACAAGTGCTACAGCTGTTCTCCTTGGGGGTGGGACTTCACCAACTTGCACACCTATGAGCTCACAGAGGGTACAGCATGGTAAGCAGTATCCCTAAGAACTTTTTAGACTGAGCCATAACCTTGGGATCTAGTGACTATATTTAGAGATAGCCTTTAATGACATAATTAGGGTAAGTCAAGTTATTAAGGTGGGTCTAATTCTATATGACTGGGTATGTCAACATGCCCCTGCAGGAAGAGTTGAAGACATAGCCACATAGCAGAAAGGAGCACCTGAAACACAGAGACAATGGGAGGATATACAAGCCCAGAGGGAAGACTCAGGTTGGATCAACCCTGCCAACACTTCCATCTTAGACTGCAAACAAATAGATTTCTATTGTCTAACACAGCTGGCTCTCGGTGAGAGCCAGTTAATACAATTTTGAACAATGCCCAGGACTCATCGTCTCAAGATTTGAAAAAAGAGGGCAGAAGTTCTGCTGTAAGAACAGATGAATTTCTGATCTGCCTAAAGAAGGATTACTCCCTAATGCCATGAGACCACATCCAATACAAAACAGTGTGTGATAAAACACATAAAGTAAGCAACTATGTTCATGCAGCCTCATGAGATGACAAGACTCTGCTGTGCACTTGAATATCTCTTCACAGGAGAAAGCCTGTGTTCTAATGCACATAATGATGGAAGTGAGCCTGTACCTAAGCCAAGAAATAAAAGCCTACAATCCAATTTGAACAAAGTCTAGCTCTCAAATGACAGTGTATACATGTCTGCTGAAAACACTCAGCAATGGGTCATTTGGAAATAGAATACTTTCTTTACCCCCAAACCTCTGTCCATATCCATCTTCCCAGGGAAACAGCTTTCCAGGGATTGCAGGCAGATAAGAAATAGCAACTGATGGACAGAGCTCTCATGATAAAATACAAATGGCACCTGAGAATAGGAGAGCCAGGAAGCTGTCTAGGGATTTATGTAGGCAAAAGCATGCTTTTCAACACACATGCATGTGCACGCACGCACATGCACACACACACACACACACACACACACACACACACAGCATCATCAGTTCACTTAGAATAGACCCCCTTTGAACAATTTGGTTAGGCTTTCCAAGAAACTTCCAAACCACTATAAGTTATTGCTGTTAACCTTGGTGGTCACCCAGATGTGAAAGTTAAGTGTTCATGACTGAAGACACCATGTACTTTGGACACAGAACGCAGAGCATCTAGACTGGATCTGACTTGAAAGACTCTTTCCTGAAAACTAGCTTTAACTGTATAAGAAACTACCATGCAAGCTTCCAAGAAAGGGAAGCAACCACTAGTTCTAACCAGCTTTGATGACTATAAACCGTTAACAACAACCAGCATGGCAAGATAAGCTTAAAGGGTACAATAGTGGCATGCATATCTTAGTGGTAACCAATGACTCCTAATTGGACTTCTCCTAGTTGTCTGCTTAACAAGAGGAAGACAAATGCTTGATATTAGAAACCTAGCCAATTCCCTAGGACTAATTAAGTTATAGATTTTGGAGGAGAATCCACAATCAACAGCTGATTAAACTAGCACTGTTCTTTAGTACTTTGTAAATTTTTACCCTTATGTCCACAGATAAGAGCAGCACTCAGCCTTCATCAAAAAAATCTTGATTAAACACATAGAGGTCCTTTCAGACAGACATAACTTATCAAAATGCAGAGAACAAAAGGTTGTATTGTGCCCAATTCCATCTGCTACATAAACAACACACGGCCTGCTTCTAAGCTTCTGCTACTTAGCTACTCTTCCCAACTTGGCACCTCTTCCCCATCCCTTGCATGTGGGTCTGCCTGGTGACTTGAACAAGTGAAATGTGCTAGTCTCTGATGATATGACTTCAAGGAACTTTAGCATCCATTCAGGCTCTTTTTGCTACAAAGAAAACTAAGCTTCCCTGAAGATGGAAGATGAGAGCCTAGTGAAAGAAACTAACCCAAGACAGTACAAACCCTTTACAAAGCTAACTGGGCCCCTCTCCATCCTATGAAGCCACCTGATATTCCAAGACCAGTAAGACTGTACAGAAGAGAAATCTAGAATACTACGCATGGAACTTCATGTGAATAATGAAGTAAAATTGAGGCCTCTAAGTTTCAGTATAATGTGTTTTGTAGAATCCAGGTATTTTCAGAACTTTGCTTCAGATATGCAAGCCTCCTTGTGCTTTCTCAAGCATATCATGCCTGGACCTATCTAAGGGATTGTTCCAAGATCTTCTATTTCTTCTACTGGTTTCTGTGAGGTTTCTTTTGCATGGTCAGTTTCTATGTGCAGTTTGTGCTGTAGAGGTTGTCTTCTGGGGAGGATTCTCCTAGCTCTTTTTCTTACTGCTGTGACCTATTGCTGTTATCTAACACAACTTATATGTTTATTCTCTATCCTATTCTTATTTATATGGTTAGTTTCCATTGTTGTGCTATCAAGGACACAGACTCCTAAATTAAATTGTATTAGCTTAGGAAATAATGGCTGTTACAACAAATAGACTCAAAGCAATCAGATAGGTATTTCTCTGAGATCCAAGGCATACGTTCCAGGCTAGTAGATGGTCTTGTTGCAGAATGTGTAAACCTTATTTTCCATCCAAGTCTTCCAATATACCCTATAGGTGGACTCAGTCTCAAGGAAATTCCTTTGTCTTGACTCCTGGGAAGGAGAAAAAGTACATTACTGGATAGCTTGTATCACAGAATTGAATGGCACAAAACCCTCCTGATCTCTTTGCTATTCCTACTGGCCAGGCCTTCTGGTACTGTGGTCTAGCTGGGTAGGTGTGTGACCAGCTATTTGACTATGACCATGTTAAAAGGAGATTTAATGCAAGAAAGCAATTTTGCCATTATCCCTCACAAACCAATGCCTATCCCAGGAATTGTTGCTATGAAACATGTACCAGAAAAACTACAATGGAAATTGATAATGAGAAAGAGAGCTAAACGATACACGGCTTCTCTGATGGATCAGTCTCACAGAACACAGGGCATTGGCATGCCAGAGAGAGTGTAATCTACACAACCACAATTTGTGATTGAAGTCCAGCCTTATAACTGACTGGCTAGTTTGTGGGCTAATCAAGCCACTCTTCTCATCGTCAGCTTCGTTTCCCAAGATCTCTTCAGGAAGAACCATGAGATGGACTAGAATGCAGAAAGCAATTCTGAACCAAAACGGTGAGGCACCAAACAAGTAGCTAAGTACTTTTTGATACTGTAGTCATATTGGAACACCCTTCCAGAATGGAGTCATTAGGAGAATTCTGGGTGCTATGAGGAAACAAGAGCCTTGTGATGTCAGTTTCTTCCAAACCCGAAATTGATCTTGCAATGTGTTTTTGTGCTCCTGCTAGGTATAGCAGACAGGTGTGCATTTACTTCACATAACTAATTATTGCTTGCTGTTGTTATTCAGTCATGCCTCTATGGAAAAGCATGCTTTAGTCATGTGTAAATTGTCTTTGATTGTATACAGCTTATACTCATGAGAACTTTACTCTGGTAACCCTTCTTAACCCTGAGAGTATAAATTGTCTGAAGCTATAAATCAAGTTAGCTATTGCAGGAGACTTTAGTCTGCCTCATTTATTAGCTCCATTCTCCGAGATCCCACTGTCTCTAGAGTGGTAAAACAGTCATACCATATCCGTTATACTTGAAGGAAAGAATGAAAGTCGGTATATGGCATTGTATCATATCACAGAGGTGATACTGGCCACTCTTAAGTGATGGCTTTCTTAATGTGGTGATAAAAATAAAAGCAAGCAATATACTTACTTAGTGTGCTCACACAGGTCAAGCATGCTTAGAGACCAGTGAGTTCATTAAGAGGGTACAGGAGATGAATCCAAAAGGTGACTCAGCAAATCATAGCAGGAGTGAAGAGGAGGACTGCCGTGTCCAACCCACTGTCTACACTGAGATAAATCACACTCTCCACATTGCACTGGATTGGCCACTTCCACCACAGAGCAACAGTGGTTTCTCCTCAGAGACTCAAAGTAATAAGTTCTTAGCAACTTCATTAAGACAAAACCACCGAATTTCTTCAAAAATGCTTTTATAAGCCTCGTAATGCTATGATAGGGGTTGTTATAAACGGTCTAGAGTAAGAAATATTTGTCCTGTACCCTTGTCCTGCAGTCCTTGGCATCTTCAAGGATTATTATCAGTTACCTTGTGTTGTCCATCAGCTAGCAACTTACTCATAAGAAGAAAATACAAAAATGAGCCAATTTTAATCTCAGCTAAGAATGACCTCATTAATGACTATAATATGAAGTTTCCAATTTTTAGTTTTTATTGTTTGAGAACTTCATATATACATATGAAGTTGTTTTAACCAAAACTTCCCACCACTCCATTCTTTCAATTCTTTCCCTCTTCTTCCCACTACTCACTTAGTTCAACTTCACGTTTTTTTTCTTTTTCAACACTGATTCCTTTAGTGTTTCCTATGTGGGTATGGACCAACAACTATGGACCAACAATATCCTCTGGAGGATTGCATGTCATGGGCCACATCCCTGAAAACTGACTTTACATCCTCCGGGAGATATAAATTTCTAATAGCTCCTGGTATAGGAATAGTACCTTGAGTGTCTTATCCACTCATACTGACATTTTGACTGGCTTGATTTTGTGCAGGTCTTAAGCGTGCAGACCAGGTACTGTGATGTCATTTGTCTGACAACCTGTCAAGACTAATACTGTTTCACTATTATAGATATATACTCGATATATACTCACTATGGCTATTATAGGCTTTTGGTCGTCCTTCTGTGATTTCTGAGCCCTGGTGGTGATGGGGATGGTGTGGGTGAACCATTTATATCTGAGAACTCCACAGTCTCATATTCTCTGCATATTGATCAGTTGTGGATCTCTACTAATAGTTATCTACTTGAAAAAAAATTTCTTTGACGAGGTTTGGATAATGCACTAAATTATGGGTATAAGGGTAAGGACTTATGAGACAGTCTAATAATATGTCAGTTTAGTAGAATAATAATAGGTTTTCCCCTATGGTCTATGACCTTAGCCAGTTATGAGTTTTGGGCCCATCCAACAGTACATGGCATGTGTTTTGTCTTGTAAAATGGGCTTTAAATACATTCAGAAAGAGTTTTGTTACTCCCATAACACTCAGGGTATGATTGCATTAGCTGGCATACCTTGCCAGGCTAATCATTGTTGATTAATCATTGTTGTAGCTCATAGGATTTATAGGTGTCTAGCAGTGTTGATGACATTTCTCACTCAGTAGCATACATAGAATCTTTCAGCATACATAGAAGCTTCCAGGTCAGTGTCTAGTTTGATTTATCCATAACCTATGATGTAAGTATATGAGTTCTTCAGCAACTGTTCTTGCTGGCAAGTTCTGGGGAGTAATTGTCTTAGTTAGGGTTTCTACTGCTGTGAAGAGAACACCGTGGCCATGACAACTCTTATAAAAGACAAATATTTAATTTGAGTGGCTTACATTTTCAGGAATTTAGTTAATTATCGTCATGGTGGGGAGCATGACAGTTTGCAGGCAGATATGTTGATGGAGAAGGAGCAGCTACATGTTGTTATGTATATGACAGGAAGTAGACTGAGACTCTGGACAGTATCTTGAGCATATATCAGACCTCAACAAAGTCACACCTACCCCAACAAAGCCATACCTCCTAATAGTGCCACTCCCTTTGAGGAACCATTTTCTTTCAAACCAACATAGCAACCAAGAGCAATGTCAATAGCCCGTAAGGTTTGGAAGGGATCTAATGTGTCACAATGACATAAAACTCAAAATTAACTCATAACTGGCAATGCCTTTTTATTTGGAAATAAAAAGTAGGTTTCCATAGCATTTTCAAAGGTCTTTAGTTATTCTATCTCATACTCCTTTTTCTGTACTGCCCTCTCATATCCTGCCCCCATTTAGCCCTTCCTGTTCCATTCTTCCCCATTATCCCCCCTACTGTTTGAACTCTAGCCCCTTTTCAGATGGATAACTAATGATTATTTTTCCTATTCTTACACTTCACTTAAACAGTGATATCCTCTGCTACATAGAAGCTTTTCAGTTTCATGAGGTCTCATTTGCCAATTGTTAGTATTAATGTCTGTGTAACTATAGTCCTGCTCAGAAAACTCTTTCCTGTCCCAATAAATTGAAGCTATTCCCCACTTTGTTCCATTTCAAACTTGAGTTTAGTGAAGGATGAGAAGTAACAACCGTTTCATCCTTTTACACACAGTTAATCTTGTTTGACCAACATCATTTTTTGAAGATGGTATCTTTTCTCCAGTGACTAGTTTGGTCTCTTTGTAAAATCAACAATGTGTCTGATTTTATTTCAGACTTTTCATACTGTAGTTCTTCAATGTAACTTGAAATATAGGGTGGTGATACTTTCAGAAGTGTTGTTATTCTTCAGGATTGTTTTGATTATATCCAGTATTTTATTCTTCTATGTGATTTTTTCCATTTCTTTGAAGAACTGCATTGGAATTTTGATAGAGATTGCATGAATCTGTGGGTTGTGTTTGGCAGGATGGCCATTTACACAAAATGAATCCTCCTAATGAGCATGGTAGGTCTTTGAATCTTCTGATATTATCTTAGTTTGCTTTCTAATGATGATAACATACTTACCAAAATAAAATTGGAAAGGGTTTGTTTCAGCTTTAAGTTTACAGATCTATCACAAAGGGAAGTCAGGTCAGGAACTCAAGGCAGGAATCTGGGGCATAAACTAAGCAGAAATGATGACAGAACATATACCTACTGAGACCTGGCACTATCCACAGTAGGCTGAGTCCTCTCACATCATTGACCAAAGCATGCCTCACACACTCACCAAAGGTAATCTGATAGGAGTACCACAGTATAAAATACAGTATCACTTTAAAAATGCCACAATTAAAAAAAATCAAGACCTTTAAAATTCACATTCTCTTTAAAAATCCTTTGCCTTTTTAAAATTTCAAATTCTCTAAATTACAGGTTTTTGTAAACCAAAAACTAGTTATTATTTTCTTGGGAAGAACCATAGTACAGTCACAATCAAATCATAGCAAAACCAACACCCAACAGTGTAAATCAAATTCTATAGCCCAGTGTCCTGTAGCTATGATTCACTCATGGTCTTCAGAGCTCCAAAGGGCTTGAAAAGCTCCACCTCCCCAGCTTTTCCATGTGCAGGACACATAGACTGCCTCATGGGCTCAGGCTCACTCTACTTCATACCTGCTGTTGTCCTTCACAGACATCACATGTCCTTGGCATTGTCAGTATGTTGGGGTTTCTAGTGCAACTAGGCTACACATTCACCAGTGACATCTCTTCAGGGACTCCAATCCCTTTAGATGGTGGCATGCTTCAGCTTCTCTTTATAACATTTTAATTTCTGGGTTTTCCACCCTAACTGAGGCTGTACCTTCTCCAGGCCTCTCACTATATCAAGTATCAACTTCTTGCCATGAACCCTGCAAGAGTGTCATTGTCATGCTGTCAAAACCAGTAATTCAGGGGAGATTTATATACATTACTATCTTGGCTGCCACCTTAAGATACAACCTTGACCCCTTCTGGATCACAGATCTTCATGCTGATCCTGAGGAAACATGTCTGAGAATCTTTCACCATAATATGTGGCTGGCTAACAGCTGTTTGCAACTCTAGATCCAGGGGAATCTCATGCTTCCTATTCCATGGGTACTCACATGCACATACTCATACATAGTCATATACACACAGAAATTTAAAATGATAAAGATTCTTTAAAAATAAAATTTAAACTTTACATATAGACTAAGAACCACTGATAGATTAATCATGAAGGTTTCTGTAAGCCAGTCTGGGTTTTTATTTAAATGCATAGCTCTCCAAACCCATAAAAAAAGTTTTGAGTTCTTTGAAACTGCAAGTATGAGATTCCCTAGTTAGATACTGCCAGTCCATTCCACTTTCAGAGACTTTACTAATGAAGAGCCATTGACAGCCTTCAAGTAGACAACAAATGAAATCATTCCATGTTGAGCTGACTACCATCTTCTAATGTTCTGGTTAACTGCTAATATTACAGCAAATCCTAAAACTAGCAGCAAACACTTTCCTGCTTCCATAGTCAGCTTCTCTATTGCCTGATACTACTACCTACAGAAATGAACTATTTAATGACTATATCATTTTAAACCACATCTCTATCTCCTGACTTCCTAATCATGCCCTGTTAGTCAGAATGAGTCATGTTTTTTTTCATAGAACCACATTTCAGGATTGATTGGTACTGCTTGGGTAACCCCAAAGACACATCAGTTGTGAATTTCCACAGAATAAGTTATACACATTTTCCACATGTTGAATACATTTGGGAAAATGCAGAAGCAATGGCCTATGTACTATGGTCTCCTGCCTACTGTAGGTATTGAACAGTTATGTGCATGCAATCAGTGTTTCATAGGCAGCTCTTAGACTTTCCAAACTGAAACTTTGACCTCATCAAGAATTTATTTCACAAGGACTGATGAAGAAGGAAAATGTATGTGTTTCCTTCTCGGTCACGTGACCTGTAAATCCAATACATTTTTTAAAGAAGGGTTTGACTCTAATTCAAATGTAGTTAAACTAATTGCATAATGTGAATTCATCCTTGAAAGTAAGATAAAATAAAAGCCCAATATTTCAAGTCTGAACTATCAATTATAGGAAACTAATTATCTTCATGTTCAAACCCAACTTTGTCCCAATATGTCAATTTACTAGGCTACATTTGGGTAATGCATTGTTTGACATGATTTCACTCCAAATAATTCAGTGAAGCTGAAGACTGTTATATGTTCAAACACAATACAAATGAAAAACATAGAACATTGATTCACAGAGTTTCACGGTCATATTCAAATATGCACTTAAACATAAGCTATAAGACTGAATAGATATTTACATACCTTTCAAAAAATTAACATCATCTGTTTGTCAGTACATTAGCTTTCTGTAACTAAAATAAATATTCTAGATAATCAGTATATAAAGAAAAAATAACTGAGTAGTGGTGGTTTTTAACTACTCAGTCACATTGCTTCAGGACGTCTGGTGGGTGTAGCAGAGCATGGCAGGAGCCTGAGGTATAGCACATCTGCTCATCCTGGTAGGAAAGGAAGATAGGAGGAGAAGAGGCTGATGTATCTCTACTCTTTTCAAGGGAATGTCCAAGTTATGCAAAACCACCTACTAGGCAATACTACCTGAAAGTTTCACATCCCCCCGTTACTCTGAGATAAGACCAAGACTTTTACATGTTTGCCTATAGGAAAAACACTATATCCAAACTATAACAGTCAGGAAGAACATACTTCATATGTGATCTGAAGGTTGGTTCACTATGATTTTTTTCAGAGTAGGGATGCAAAAGTAAGGATATAGGAGACCTACGTAGGATGCCCTTACCTGTTTGAAGGTAGGAGTGAGACTGTGTGCTGAGGGATGTGCCTGGTGTGGGGAGAAGCAAACAAAATAGGCAAAAGAGGTCACAGATTGCTGAAATGAAGTTATTGAACTGGAAGACATTGTAAGGTTGTAAAGAGTGATTACAAGGCATATTCAATACCCTTTTAAGTATGCAAAGCAGTTATATATGTAGTAGTTCACTTATGCTGTTCTAGCAAAGCACCGTGAGCTGGGCAGCTCTCATAACTTTCTATTGTTCATTGTTCTAGAAGTTGAGAAGTCCAGGATTGAAGAAATGGAGATTCATCATCTGGCGAGGCAATTTTCTTGCTGTGTTAATAATTAACACAGGAGGAAGAAGCTCTCTAGAGATTTATAGAGGTTTTAATCCTAATAATTGTTCTACCCTCCTTACCGAAATGCCCCCAAAGCTCTTTCCTTTTAACCCTCCTAACAGAATATTCTGATGATAGACTGTGAATTCTAGGGGTAGTGGAGACAATGACAATCATTCAGGTCTGTAAGATGAAGGACAAACACCTGCAGATCTGTGATAAAGATATCTGAAAGCTGGATGAAATGGTGCTCATGGCTGCAATCCCTACACTTGGCAGGATGAGGCAGGAGGATTGCTGTGAAACTGAGTCCACCTTGGACTATATAGTGAGATGCTGTCCCAACAAACAATGGAAATATAGAGAAGAAAAAAGAGAACGAAGGGAGGAAGGAAGGGAGGAAGGAAGAAAGGAAGGAAGGAAGGAAGGAAGGGTTTTGTCAGTGTTCTGTTGGCTAGAGTTCATTTTGTTGTTTTAGATTGATGCTGGTGCTAATGATGATGCTTCCTTCTTTCTGTGTTTCCCACCATGATGGACTCTATCACTTTGAAACAGTGAGCCCAATGAGTCACTCACCATTGTGAGCATAGGCCTTCTCCTCCATTTCATGTGTCCTGACCAGAGAATACACCTAGCCATTCTCAACATCAGGCCTTCTTCCCCCACCCCAGCAAAGTGAACTGCATTACTTTCCACCTTAAATTACTTCTTCTCAAGTGTTTGGTCAAAACACAGTTACATAATTACATGCATTTCAAAGTTCATCAAATTTTGATCTGATAATTGATGGTCTTTACTTTGTGTAAATTAGATCTCAAAAATGTTTTCTAAGTTTATTTGAGACTTGAGTGGGTTTTTAATTACTAAAATGCACATGGAAAGTATTCTAAAGTAAAAAAGATCCTATATGTATTCTTTTTTGCTGTATGACAAATGAACAACCTGAAACAATACTCATTTATCTCACATTTTGGGCATGTTTGACAAGTTTTTCTGGTGGGGTCTTCCACAGCCACATCATAGTTTCAGTCATCCTGAGGCTAGGGTAGGGTAGATATCTACTTCCAAACCCACCTAAGACATTGATAGAATTAGCTTTCTGTTGGTGGAGGGCTGGAGTTTAAATTACCTGTTAAGAAGACATAGTCCTTGAAGTCTTTTGAATCTCTCCATTTTACTTTGTACTTCTTCTGCTTTTAAGGGGCTATGTGAAAATTAATTCTGATAGATTTTCAATGTACTTTCAGATACATCTTTATTCTCCTAGATATCTCATTTTCTGATAATGCTGGATATCCTAGCTCGTTATCACCTCTGAATGGTTTGTAGAAAGCAGTGCCTGGCCTTGCATGACCTAAAGACTTATTCCCTTTGTGAAACCTTATCAGAGGAGTGCATGATCTTTCCCAGATGTTCATGTATACCACACTGCAAAGTCATAGCACATATTAGTAACTAAGAGGAAGGACCCAGGAAAATATATAGGTATCTAACTAGACACGCCTGGATCATAGTGAAAATTTCAAATAACTATTAAAATGAATAAATATATAACACGGGAAATCATTTCTAGGACTTGCAGTATTAAACAAATAAATAGTCATTCCTAAAGCAAATTGGCAACTCATATGTGTAAAATATAAAGGTCCAGATGCTAGACAACTGGTTTTTACAATTATGAGTGTCAAGAAACCTTTCTTGACTTGCTAATTTCGAGTCCTGCAAATGTCTCTTCAAATGCCACTGGAGTGACTGGTCACAACAAATTGCCCAGAGCTGGAGAATGAGTGTGTCTGTTCCGCAGCGTTTTCAAGTGTTAGACAGTGTCGTTCTCAGGTTCTTTGCTGGTAACATTCATTGTAATGAGAGATCATTCTGAACAGATAATAGGTTTCTTGAATAGTGGACCAAGCAGTTCTTGTCATTTCCCCAGCAACACAGCCAACAAATTCAAAGGTGAACATTCCAGATGCTTCCAATAACATCCGTATAGTGATCTGCTGATACTGGCATAAAGTTTGACTTAATGAAGGAGCTGAGAGAGTACTGATACAAATTTTCATTGTATTCTTAAGAATCATCAAGTAGAAAACACTCTTAAAGAAGTGAAAGTCAGCATTTTCTTGGCATACACAGCCCTACTTTCAAACCCCAGCTTGGACAAAAAAGAAAGGAAGTCCAAGTTACCATAAAGTTATGATCATGGATGAAAGTATGTGGAATCCCCTAATGTTAGTACCACAAATACTGATCCCCCTCTCCTGTTAGAGTGAGTCCACAGTCTGACAGTCACAGACTTTCTATTGATATCCATTCTGAATAGATCCAGGTCCCCAGTGCATTCCATGACCTATGGGTTACCTCTGGAGCAGATTCTTAGTGCATGTCATGATCTATAGATTACCTCTGGAGAAGGTCCCCAGGGCATGTCATGATCTATGAATTGCCTCTGGAGGTCCAACTTTTTTTTTTAATGTGTATTGGTGTTTTGCCATGGGTGCTGAGTCCCCTGCTACCAGAGTCACAGACAATTGTTAACTGACATGTGAGTTCTGGGAACTGAACCAAGCTTTTTTTTTTAGAAGAGCAATCAGTGCTCTTACCCATTGAACCATCTCTCTAGCATAGTCCAGTATTTAAATATCTATAGATTGGCCAGAGAAGAGGCCTACAAGCCTGGAAGTGGTGAAATCTTGGGCAAGTATAAAAAATGTATTACAAAGATATGGAAGAGCTGTGTGATCACTTTCTTCATTTCCATTAGTAGGTTACAGCATCCTGGAATTCTGTAGGGAGAGTACTTACTCTTCCTGTGGTAGCTGTGGAAACAGCACAGTTCTCTTAAGTCTTGTCACAGGAGTTTGAGGTGCACTCTGTGTAGATTTCAGTCCCACAACCCCGTTGGATTTCTACGTGTGTTCATGCAATTTTAGAAAAACTAGTGTCTTTATTCATATTGCTGTCATGATTATCTGATAGCTACTTATTACGTGCCATGTCTTCATTTTCAACTTTTTAGGTTACATGTGAGTTGTAAGAATCCTACATTGGTAAACCTTAGGCATTAGTTTTACTTACTGGTCACTCGTGATTGTATTAACACCAGTGAGAACTGAGTGTGTATTCTGGGGAAAAGTCAGCTTAAAGAAAGCTTTTCCTTAGTGCCCTATTCCCTTTAAGGACTCCACTGTAGGTAGTAATCCCTCCCTCTGAGGTGCCCCACACAACATCTACATGGCTCCACAAACAGCAGCTTTGGAGACCTGTTTTTACCTTCTCATTGCACATTTTCTCCTCTGTTTTCTGTTAATACAAACCCAAACTGGGCCTTGTTAAACTTCAGAAGTATAGACAAAGGCTAGACAAGTGCACTTAAAGACATTGATTAAAATAAATTTACATATTGGAATAGAGAATGTACAGCACTGGATAAATTACAGTTTAGTGCTGAGTATTAGAGAGTAAAGAAGATTTCATAGGAATCTCAAAAGACCTGTCTAAAGAACTATAATTTCTAGTGGACAGAGATGAAATGTATCCAGAGGTCCTGATGTTCAATGCTCAATGGGCTCTCAGTTTTAAGAAGGGACTGTCAACATAGCAACTGAGCAAAAGACAAAATGACAAGAAATAGCAGTGGATATTCAACTCAAACAGCTGGCTAAACATAACTCCAAATTTTTATCATTATCTCTATAAAATAAATTAGTAAATTGAATTTAAATGATACAGTCAAATCAAGTTCTGTTTCTTTTATTAAAGCAATTATATAATATATTTCTAATACACCATAGTTGTATATCAATTCTATGATGTCATTTCCCAGAGAACTTCCAATTACCTTTGTCATAAAAAGTCCATGTTAAGAAAAACATTTCCACCAAGTCAAGGTCCAAGCTATTTATCATTCCAAAGAATAGCAAAAGGTAACCTCAAATTAAAGGAAACATTATAGCATTAAATAATCACTTAAATAATTTTTGTATTTAGAAAATGTCTATCTCAAGGTTCTTGAATTTTAGAGGGCTCTACGATCATTTCATGCACAGTAGAATCAGAGTGTAACACAAATGAACCACAATCTTTTCTTGTTGTGCTATCTGCTACCTTGATCTAAGGTAAGCATTTACACTTAATTGACTTACTCTTAGAAAACCCCAAGGCAATGCAGCCCTGAGTCTGTTCATCTCAAGCAACTGAGATTTACAAATACAAATTTTGATTGTCTTAAATATTATTTTAAAGACCTGCAACTAGTATAAAAAGTACAGATTTTTAATTTTTCATAAAATGTAATGAGTGGTCTGAATTATATTCATAGTTTGATGAAACATGCATCAAATAAATATACTTACCCTAACAAAGATACGCTGATTGTCTCCACAACTCAAGAAAGCAAGTTGCACACAATTTATGCAAATCTCTTTAATCCAATGGGATTTTAGGAAGCAGAGGAGGTTTCTTTCAATGGCTAAGAGATAGATGCTTGTCTGCTGTAAGCACTTGTCTATTTTTAATCTCAACAGGCTCCAATAGTGACCCTACTGTTTTTTCACTTTAAGGGAAAAATAGCAATATGATCTGGTTGAAATAAGCAATGTTCTCATCTATATGAGCCAGTGAGAGGTATCTAATGTGTCCTGCCTTCCAGGATGCCTGGGCACACTCATTAATGTGTTCACCACTAATAGAAGCTGCTCCCTAAGACACCTCACATGCCCATAGATTATGTCATTAGCTACTGACAGCCACACCTACTCCCTGACTTTCACAACTTCAATTCAACTCCAAAATACAGGGGAAATTTTTCTATGATTTTATGGGAAGAAAACATACTATATCCAGTCCTTCTCATTTGCTTCTACTATCTCAGAGTTTATCATCATCTAGATGTGAGGATTGCTGGGGGTCATTTCATATTGGTTAATATTTCTCAAACAATTTTCTTTAGCAAGGCACAGTACCTGGGGTTGCCAAGGGTTCTTGGTTCTGCTTTCAAACAGCATTGTAATTATTTCTATAAAAACAAAACAAAACAAAAAAACCTGTAAAAGAAAACCAGCCACTTCAACACTGGAACTGTTTCATTTTGGGTTGTTCCTTATTTTTGGCAGTATTTTTCTATTTTCAGTTGGAAAAGGACACTATGTTTTCAATAAACTACTGCGATTTCCCAGCCGTTGCTGTCTGAAGGCTCATGCTGGGCTAGCCCATTCATTTGGGTCTAAATTCAAACAGAGCATCCCATCTGTTATTGAGAAAAGCAGAAAGTGCTGCCGTGCTGCAGATATATAATGATTCTTTTTTTTTAACAGAGCCAGAATTTGTCTTTCAAATAAACAAGGCATCCATTTAATGGGATATATTTTTAAAAAGAAAGCTTGGGATATACCCCACACTTAAGTGGGAACAAATCTCCGTATAAGAGGATGTAACTTTAATTAACAAACTTAAAATTGCACAGTGGCTTTTTGCAAATTTAACTGACAACCTCTACCTCCAAAGTGTGAAATAAAAGGTGAAGGGGAGAGAGAGGGATGGGAGAGCAACACAGTTCAAGTCTAATTGTTTAGACTCACTTATGGTGACCCATTAGTCCTGAAGAAAAAGCTCCTCACACTTGAGCAAAAAGCCACCGTGACAATTTTTTGAATGACACACCTATTTCCCTCCAGCACTTCTACAGATCTCCCTGAATACCCTAAATCTCTCTTGTTCTCAACACCCAAAACATCTCCTACATAATGTGAACACTTTCATCTTAGACTTCTGATTATTTATGTGAAGGACTGTGAACCCAAAAGACAATGACAAATGAATATCAAAAACTTCAACCTGTCAATTAACACAATCTGCAAACACCAGGCTGGAATTCTGTAACTTGGACAGTAGGCTGCCCTGGGCAGACAGGGCTGGCAGTTTCAACCACAGGCTTTTCTGTGCCGGACTAGTCAGCCTCCAGCGCAGGAACCAATCGGCAACAGGACCAGCCGTTGCCATGGCTCCTCTGTGTGCAGGGGCCTCATTTACGACTTGCCTGCCTGCCCCCAGGAGCCAATTGGTGGCCCGCTAAAGCGTTGCCATGGCCACACGGTCTGTTAGGGCCACAAATGCTCAGAGCCAAGGCGTCTGAACCAGGCTGCCTCAGCCTGGAGCTCATGAAGGACCTGGCTCTGGGCTCCAGATGACACTGAGACCCACTTATATGAACACCGGCCATGAACCGAAAGAAACTGCAGAAGTTGACAGACACCTTAACTAAAAGTTGCAAACACTGTAAGTAAGAACCAAATTCTGGAGGATCCATGACTTCCGGACTAGGTCTCTTTGCTACCTCGTGTGGCCCTCCTGCTTCCACCAAAAGGGTTTCTTCACAGTACCCCTCAAGAGAAGGCTGCAGGAAAATCCCTTTTCTGCGGTGTCAGCTACTCATCCAGTCCCAGGATCTGTAGAACCCGAACAGATCACATGCATTTTATCTAGTGTGTTAACCCTGAGCTTCTTCACGCACATTCGCTAAATTCAAAAACCCTCTTTATTTGCCTTTATGTTAAAGAAGAATGATGCAGTGTCCTGGGAGGTGTGTGACTTTACTCTAGACGGGGGTCTAGAAAACCATAGAATCAAGAAGGTAGCAGGGCCCATGTATAGTGCCTTAACCTACTTTCTAGCTCTTTCTAGAGCAGAAGAACCTGTGAGGTCTGAGTTCTGGAAGTTTACTAAGTGCTCCCTTAGGGTAAAGAGTTATCCACTGCTGGGCACCTTTAAAAAAAGACACTTGAAGTTCCACAGCAACGTTTTAGGAGGAGGCAGGCTATTTGAAAGCTGCATTGCTCAGCAAATCAAGATGATAAGGAATCTGTGTCCAGTTTCAGGAGCTCAATTACCAATTGCTAAAGGGGTGTAAAGGCGAAGGAGATCCTCCAGGTGATCAGACACCCCAGCATTGTACCAAGACTGAAAAAACAGACTTGTCCTTGGGCTAAGAAGCTGTGTGTGGATATAGTTGGGTTGAGGACACTGTTGTCTGGTGTGAGGACTTACAAGTTGTGTGATGATTGAAAAGCTATTGGTCACTTGAGGAAAACAGAAAAGGTCTGCATATTCAAATCATCTCAGTTGTATGGAGATGTAGAAATGAATTTCTAATGGAGCTCTGGGGCCTACTTTCTTTTACATCATTAGTATTTGATATGTGTAAGAAATTATGTTATAGGGAATACAAGAGATCTCCAAAACAATTTGGGATATAGCCTTTGCCATTAATTGTCTTCCAGAACTTAAAAGTGAGACCATATTGCCTAAGACACCACACATTTGGGCACAGAATTTGTAGAAACTGAGCTGCAGCTGACTAGCTAGTCCCTGAGGACTACCTCTTATAATATCTTAAAGTGTTGTATCTTAAAGCTGCCATGGAGGAGGAGTGATGAGTTGTCCTACCAAGAGTAAACCCTATGAGCCAGCAAAAGGACAGACAGCAATGAGGCCACCAATGCTGCAATGGGGAAACTTTTATCTTGGGGCAACCAACAGCTTTTTATTTGAAATTATGGTCCACTAAATAGGAAAGAACTCTTGTCTGGTTCTGTAAACTTAGCCAGCTAACCATGCTTAGAGCAAATTGGGTGCCCTGCAGGAGAACCTATAAATGCCACTTTCCTAAACCAGTGTAATTTCTAACTGTGTTCTAAATAATTATTCTTACAGCCATGGATAAGTGTAGCTCTTGCTCTGCATCAAAGAAGTCTCTTTTTTCAACCAGTGAAGACTATTTCAGAATCCATAACTTTTTTTTTTTTTTTTTTTACGAGATAGGGTTTCTCTGGGCTGTCGGTCCAGCCCGGCCTCGAACTCACAGAGATCAGCCTGCCTCTGCCTCCCGAGTGCTCGGATTAAAGACGTGCGCCACCACTGCCCGGCCAGAATTCATAACTTTTAATAATGCAATGAGCTAGTGACTGAGAGGTGCCTAATCCTGATGGAAATGTCTGCAACAGAGGCTCAGGGGAAATCACAGAAGAGGGAGCAGAAAGCTTTTAAGGTCCAGAAGTCCACTGTGTCTACTACTAGATAGTATCCCATACGTGACCAGGATAGTGGAGTTCATAAAAATATAATTTTATGAACAAGAGAAGCATATGACGTCAGCTGACATGTCAACATGCACAGAGGAAATGGGTCCCGCACCTAGATAAAGAACTACAGTTGTTCAACGGCTGCTGAGAGACTGAGAATATCAGTTTTACTCAGGGAGCAGCTCCTGCATAGGTTGTCCACTCCCCCAAGAAATCATTACTAGACACATGCACATTTAAGTCTATTAGCATGCCTTTGTGTGTGTGTGTGTGTGTGTGTGTGTGTACAATAAAAAAGAAAAGGTAATTAATTTGGAAGGGATTAGGGGTCATGAGGCAAGGGGAAGAGGGACAGACAGTAGTGACACAGATGCAGTGTTCACATAGGAAGTAGTCAAAAGGTTTTAAAACTCAGTGAGCCACTTTTTCTTATGGATGACTGTTGATCTCAGTCATAAATTAAGCTAATATCACTTAAGTGACCTTTCTTTTGGGATGGAAACACAGCTCTTCATGTAGTTCTTCCCCAGCCACAAGCAGTTTTTAGTTTTCAGAGCTTTGCACAGTCACTTATGTGTGTTTCTATATCATCAGAAATGTGTTTAACATTTTAACTGTTTTCTATCTATGGTTCTTGGCATTAAGTTCAGAAGTCTTCTCTTATCCATGTGGTTGGGGGTGGAATTCAAGATGCCTACTCTTTGAGACATTGAGCATTACGTTCCCAATGTTTTTCCTAGCACATATATAGCTACCACATTTTAAGTTATTAATAAGGCACACTTAGACACTAGGTTAGGTTAGTTAATGACAAACAATAAAATATATTAGTTACAACAATATTCTGTAATAAAAGTCTGTATTTTTGGATTTCTTCCATTATTCTTACACTATAATAAGTGAAGTGAAGCTTCACACAGGAGGGGACTCTGCACATTCAGTATCATGCATCTGTCATGAAAAGAAATGTCCAGAACTTTGATCTTTCCCAAGTAAACCCTATACCAACTAAACACTAACTCCCCACTATGAATTTGATAACAGTACATACATCATATAAGTGGAACCATATTTTACCCTCTTTTTAACCACATTTAGGTCTAAAAACATGCTTGTTCAGTTTCCCTGTATTTCAAAAGAAATTAGAAAACAAGAACTGGTAAAGGAAAAAAAGGATTTATTTACTGCCTGGACAAGTCTGGGCGTGGGTGTATCTAACTTTTCTCCCAACATGCCTGTCAGCAGCTTTTAGTTTGTAGAAAGCCAAGAGACTGAGATTAGCACACAAGTAAATATATCTGTGAAACAGGTCTTTTCTTGGGGAGGAAGAGCATGTAGGCCCAGTTGTCTGTTGTCCCTATCCTCAGTTACAGGAATATACTTTTATTCAGTTCTAGGAAAGAAGCAGAAAGGCATCTCCAGGATTGTTCCTAGGACCAGCTCTGTTTTAGGTCCCCCCTTTCTCTCTCTCTCTCTCTCTCTCTCTCTCTCTCTCTCTCTCTCTCTCTCTCTCTCTCTCTCTCTCTCTCTCTCTCTCTCTCTCTCTCTCTGTGTGTGTGTGTGTGTGTTTGGTTCATCTCTGTTCTAGGTCCTTTGTCTCTGTGCTAGGTCCATCTCTCTCTGTGCTAGGTCCACCATCTCTGTGCTAGGTGAATCTCTCCCTGTGCTAGACGATCTCTATACTAGGTCCATCTCTCTCTGTGTTAGGTTCATCTCTGTTCTAGGTCTTTGGCTCTATATTAGGTCCATCTCTGTCTGTGCTGGATCCACCATCTCTGTGCTAGGTCCATCTCTATACTAGGTCCATCTCTGTCTGTAGTAGGCCTATTTCTGTGCTAGGGCCATCTCTCTCTGTGCTAGGTCGATTTCTATACTGAATCCATCATCTCTGTGCTAGATTCATCTCTTTACTAGGTCCATAATCTCTGTGCTAGGTCCATGTCTGAGCTAAGTGTAGGGAAGTAGTGTATTGTACCTTTTCTTTGAAAGTCAGCTTCAAGCTGAGACTCTTGCATGCCTGTTAAAGGCATTCATTTTGCAAATGAAAAACAGATTTGATAGTGAATAAAGAGGCATAAGTGGTTCCCTTTACATTATGCTTTCCAACATTGTGGCCTCAGCATGAAGCCAGGGTTATGCTTTCCTTCTGTTTTCCACTTATCTTAATGCCAATGCAGCTTGTAACAACACTTAAAAGCCAGTATTCCACTGTTTGGTTATATCACATTTTGTTTAAACACTCATCTGTCACTGAACACTGGTTTGCTCCTTTTGCCTTTGTGAATGATGCCACTGTGAACACTGGTGCATATGCACATGGCTGAGTTCCTTCTCTCAGTTCTCTAGCATGTGTATGCTGAAGTAGAATAATTGGATCACACCGTGTTTATTTCTAGGGACTGGCATACTCTTTTCCACAGTAACTTAGAGCTCATGTAAAAATCTTAACCATTATATTAGTTTCTACTATTTACTTATCATTTGTTTTGTTTTTCTGAAGTTTTAAGTTTTCTCTTAAAATGTAATTCTTAAAATCAGAAAACCATCCTGAGTGTTGTGGCATGTAGGAGAAGTGTAATTTCTCTATTTTCTCTTGCACAGAGGCATTGTCCTTATGTATGAAAATATTCAACTATATTTTTCTGGATTTAAATAAAATTTCCCCATCTCCGATTCATATTTCAAATTTAAATTCACTTATATTCTTTTTAATAAACTATATTTTAAATTTTTTCATTTGCTACTGTTGATGGTGTTGGTGTTGCTGCTGTTGTATAAGTGTGGTGTGTGTGTGTGTGTGTGTGTGTGTGTGTGTGTGTGTTCAGACTCCAACCACCAGGCCTCCATGGCAAGCAATGTTTGTTTATTTGTTTGTTTATTTGTTTGTTTACTTGTTTGTTCTTACCAGCTGAGGGGTTGGGGATTTAGCTCAGTGGTAGAGCACTTGCCTAGCAAGCGCAAGCCCCTGGGTTTGGTCCTCAGCTCTGGAAAAAAAAAGAAAGACAAAATAACAAAAAGACCAAAAAAAAAAAAAACCAAGGTAACTAATTGTTCTTACCAGCTGAGAAATGTTGCCAGCTTTCATTTATGTTCTTAATGCCAGTAAGTATTCATTCTCACTCTGCCTGCCTCATTCCCTCTCTCTGTCATATTCTCTCTCTGTCTGTGTCTCTTTCTCCTTCCTCTTTCGTGTGTGTGTGTTAAACTAAAAAGAAATCCTTCTACCAGAGTAATCCTGAATTGTTTTTTGTAAATGTTCACACACTTGGAGAAGAACCATACTGATTGTTAGAACATGCTTAAAATTCCTTTATTAGAAAATAAATACATCTTATTTTAATGTTCTGCTTTATAAATTTACCAGGCCTAAACTGAAATGATAATGATTACACAGATATTTCAGAGGGTATATTTCCATGGAAATGCTTGCTTGTAGCTGCTATAAACACCTACCATCAAATGTTTGCTGCTGCCAGCTGTCTGAAACAACACAAGTATGATTTGCCCTCTGTCTGCTCTGTGAAGTCTCGAACATGACACCACGGTCATCTGGATCATGTGGTTGCTATCTTCTTTCATTCTAAATGTGATGGGATCTATTTCTATTTAGCATTTGGCTCCAGCAGGAGTAACCTACCTTCTGTTAGTGAATAATGTGACTTAGACACCATCTTCCTTTAACTCTAAGTCTGTGACTCAGAATACACTTTAAAATTTTAAATTCTAACCAAATATTGCATGAATGAGTTTATGTGTTCAAAATCAAAAGCATCTAATGCTTGGTTGTTACCTCCAAGTCTCTCAAAGTGTACTTCTGTTGTATGTCCATTTTGATCTTTTACAGTTAATAAATTTGAAGTGAACTGTCTTATAACACTTTTCTATAACTTGGTGGGAGACGTAGCTGAAAAGCAAGGGGTAGTCATTGGACTAGATCGAAATGCATTCCGGAACATCCTGCATGTGACATTTGGAATGACAGATGACATGATTATGGACAGAGGTAAGATACACATGTGAGTGAAACTGTCAAATTCAATTGTAATTTTAAAAAGTTTAAGTTTGGTTATGCTCTTGGGAGAAATCTCATGCTTTAGATTCCCAATTTCATTTGAATATATATATGAATATATTTCAATCTTCCAAAATTTTTGGAGAAATAATCAGTCTATTTCTTTTGTTGTTTAGAAAGAGACCAAAGTTGTGTTGGGTAGCTAGCTGTTATACAAAAAAAACCTCATAGTGTTCTGCTTCTACTTAAATTTCCTTACATACTAGAAAATACTCAATAACAGTTAAGAAGTACTCCCACCATGTAACAGCATTGCTTGTCCTGACGAATAAAAACATACAATTATTTTTATTAAGAAGCTTAAGTATCTAATAACTAAAATGTTTAATATTCCCATGTATTATTATTCACCCATATTTTATATATTAAGAATATTATTTATACCCATAACATATGAAGAGAAAGTTGAATATGTAATTAAAAGAATTTTCTCAGGTTATGTGTCTCAGTTTATTTTGTCAAATGAAGGTATGGGGACCTGGGTCTTGAAACAGCTATGAAATGGTGATGTTAGGCTTGATGTATTTATTATTTAGGACTAAAATCCAATACAATTTTTTTCATTGTGTCTTTTTAGTATTTCGGGGTTTTGATAAAGACAATGATGGCTGTGTAAATGTTTCTGAGTGGATTCATGGATTATCACTGTTTCTTCGAGGAACTTTAGAAGAAAAAATGAAATGTAAGCCTTCAGATAACCTGCTAGTTTATACATTATGGCAAACATAGCAGAAGTTTTTAAATAACTGTTTTCAATAAAGTGGGTTTTCTTTGGTTGGTTAGTTCGGTAGTTGGTGAATCCTCATTGGTCATTTTTATGGAGCAAATTACAGTCAATAAAGAATGAAAGTATATTAATTAACAGGGAAAATCAAGCAATTTAAGGAGTGTCATCAAAGGAGGCAGCACAGGTTTGATATACATTTTGGCTATGTATTGTTTTAATACATAGCTTACATTGCTTGATTACAAACATTAAACCAGAAAACATAATTTAAGTTTTCTAGCTCTTAAATGATTCTCAACTAATGGAGTCATACTTCATTTAACAAAATGAATGTAAACGCACAATTGATTTTCCTTGTTTCCAGTCAGTAATGCTCATGTTAGCACTGCGAGGAGTTTCTTTTCATAGTCAGTTAAAGACACATGTAGAGGGGAATGAGAATATTTCCCTACTGTACACTAACATTCCCACAAAAGTCGACTAGTAACAAGCTCAGAACTAAATAATGCAGCAATAAGACATGCCTTCTCCCTGACTGCTTTGTCAGAAGAAAATGCCACCTTAGTGTTAATCTCAAACACACACACACACACACACACACGCACGCACACACGCACTCACACACACATGCATGCACACACACACACTATATATATATATTTTTTTTTCTTTAGACTGCTTTGAAGTGTTTGATCTGAATGGCGATGGCTTCATTTCAAAGGAGGAGATGTTCCACATGCTGAAAAACAGCCTTCTCAAGCAGCCCTCTGAGGAGGACCCTGATGAAGGGATTAAAGATTTGGTTGAAATTACACTGAAGAAAATGGTAAGGATGAGTAACTTAAAAGTTTTATGTTGGAACGTATAGTCAATGTGTGGGGGTAGCAGTAAGAATTCAGTGGTGACGACTTTCAGCGTTCTGTTTAGTTAAAGAAAAACTGACTTTTGCTTTAGTGGAATATTTTCTGTGAGCTGCAGGTGTGGGTTAGTGAGAGAGCTCTTGCCCAGCATGTGAGAGGTTCTTGATGGCATGCTCTATAACTCCCTGCCCCTCACCACACATTACAAAACTTTATTTTTCAACTTCCCAACCTAATCTCTTGTTCTTCTGCCAATACCTGACTGAAAAGGAGTGTGCATTTGCAGCAAGAGTACCATGTGCTCACTGACCCAGGCTGCTCACCTCTTAGGACCAAGACCATGATGGGAAGCTGTCCTTTGCAGACTATGAGAAATCAGTGAGAGAAGAGACTCTTCTGCTTGAAGCCTTTGGGCCATGCCTGCCTGATCCAAAGGTAACAATATTACTTTCTTTTTGTTGAATCAAAAACTAATTTGAAACAGGACTTTCTCAGCTTGGTATATAGTAGCCAGAAGGATGTGAGCATAGAAATATCCCCAGAGAAGTGACAGTTTACCTCTGTACTGTTACATCTAATATGCATTAATCCATATTAGAAAGATTTAATGAGGCTCAATGTGTGTCAAAAACCCAGAACAGTGGTTTAGTGGCTCCAGTGGAGGAAAAAAGCAACATGGAAGCTGTTACACATCATTGCAATAAGTATAATATCATGATGATAAGATGTAATGATTTGCATGGCACTTCTACCATGCCAGGCAATGTCATAAGCACAATACCTCATATCATCTAATTTTCAGATGAGAAGATAGAATCAGAGGATTAATGCATTTTATCAAAGCTAACTTAACTAATCAGTGGAGTAGCAGGATGGATATGCTGGTCCACAAAGAGCTATGCAGAGTGTATTAACAGGCGGGTAAAAGAACATCCACAGCATCTAGACCACAAGAAGACAGGAAGGCTTATCCAAAGAACCAGGTTTCAAACGAAAAATGACCAGGTAAAAATGGGAGAAGAAATCCTGGCAAAGGAAATGACATGTGTGTGAAAGAAAGTGAGGAAGGAAGGGAGCAGGAAGTGTATTACAAGAGGACCTGGTATATACTTGGCTAGATTTAAAGTAGCAGGTGCCTACAAAGACTATGACCTCCACAGCCTGCATTTGTCTGGACAGTGATAAGGATGTGTATGTATTGCAGTCTATGAATATCCCCACCCTGGAACACTGGTTTGTATCTCTGATCTTCTAAAAGTTCCTGGTTCCTACAAAACTTCAATCACTCCTGCCAATGCCACCTAATGGTGTCCTGTTTCCAGCAATTTCAATAATCTGAGAACCATGCTTTGTTTCTCCTGGCACTCTGAGCTCCTCTTTCAGAATTTAGCCTTAAATATGGACCATTCCAGTGGCCACCATCACCTCTCTGGTCTGAATTATTAGCTTTCTTACTCCCACTGTTTTCCCCCTACTGTCTTTCCCCTGCTACACCAACTATATTTGAAAATACAGATTGCAACATGCCCCAGTTTTGTCCATACCCACCAGTGAGATCTCCAGATACAGATTCTGTATTCTGTCTCTCCAGAAACATCTCTTCTCCTTCCACATTTGTCAGGCCATTGGAATAGGGGCAGTTAACTCTGTGCTCTTCCCTTCCTGCCTTACCATGCTGTGTCCTTCCCCACCTCTTTACAAGCCTCAGGGTCCTAGTCACCCAAGATCACTAGACTTATTAGATCATACAGACAGCCTTTGTCACCTTACCCCTGCCTCTCCGTGCTCCAGCTTGCTTTTGTTTCTTTGTACTCTTTCCTACACAGTATTTATTTGTATGCACATGGTCTCACCACATAAATGGGAGGGTTCTTGTCTGTAGAGAGCTATGTAGAGTGTAGTAACAGGAAGGTAACAGAACATCAACAGCATCTAGACCACAAGGAGACAGGAAAGAAATCAGAAGAGGGATTCTTTTTATGATGTTTTTGCACAACTAATGTATTGAGTGCACAGAATAGATGCCTAGAAAACATGAACATATTAATGGAGACATGGATGGATGGATAGAGGGATGAATGGACTATCTTTGAGGTCCCTGGGGGAATTTTTGAGTCTGTCTCCCTCCCCTGTTCAGAAAGTACTTAGTCATTCTCTTCCCTACATCCTCAGGTTATTCCCTGCAAATAAAACCTTCCCATTAAAATTCTAAAGATTTTTGCATCTTAAAAACAAACCAAGGAGCTGGAGAAATGGCTTAGCAATTAAGAGCAAGTGCTTCCCTTATATATGACTTCAGTTTGGTTCCCAGTGCCCACATCTGCCTGTAACTCCTGCTCCAGGGAAAGCTGATGCCTCTGACTTTAGCAGGCACCCAAACTCATGTCAATGTTCACACACACACACACACACACACACACACACACACACACACACACACACATACACACAGAGAGAGAGAGAGAGAGCTAAAATGTGTTATCAATAACACATCAGACCATTTATTCTTCCAAACAAAATGTATGAAATGTATGAACATGGATAGCACCTGAACTTCTAGCCAGGGTAAAGATTTCTCTTTGCTAGTGTCTGTTAGGATTCTCACATACAGGGGTTGTAAGTCTGCAGCTGTTAATTTTTAGGTGGTTCATGTATACCACCAGTAAACCAGACCCTAGTTTCTTCTACCTCAGTCAACTGATCACAGGTCTACATAGGGTCTACAGTACATGCTTGGGAACATATCACACTGGAACAGTAGTAGAAACAGAGGCTTTGGAGCAACTTCTTCATATAACTTGCTTATGCTTGCAGGACCTGGTTAGTCTGATCATGTATGTACCATGTCCAGTTGATAATGGATTGCTGCTGTACACACCCTTCTTTATGCCTTGATGAATCAGATAACACCCAGCTCAGGACTCATAGTAACTTGGTGGCCCACTGCCAAATGTTCATTTTCCACTAAGGCACAATAGTGGGCTGAGAGCTATCTCTCAAAGGGAGAGTACTAGTCTGCAGATGATGCAGAACCTGCCTACAAATTCACAAAGGTCTCTGTGATTCACCTCTAGGGCCTGCTAAAGGCTCCTAACAGCATCAGTATCTGCCACTGACATCTCAAGTACCATTGGGTCTGCTGGATCATATGCTTCAGATGGTAGCGCAGACCACATAACAGCCTGTACCTGTTGAAAAGCATTCTCCTCCTCAAGGTCCCACTGAAAGCCAACAGATTTACAAGTCACTTAGTATATACTCCCAAGTAACACATCCAAGCAACGAATCTGCCATTTCCAGAATCCAAATAGACCTCCTGTATGTTGGAATTCTTATTTTGGTGGTGGCAGCAGCTGAATACAATAACTTGTCTTTCACCTTAAAAGAAATATCTCTGCATGCCCCACACTATGGCACTGCTAAACATTTCAGTGAGGTAGAAGGTCCTTGAATTCATTTCCCATTCTCTGATACACATGTGTTTTCAACAAGACCAAAGTGGTTGCTACCTGCTATTCATTTGGTCCCATCTGCATATTGTCTACATTACTGTGGACTACTGTAGTATTTTGTGAAAGAAACAAGTGATCAAGATCCCTTCAAACTAAGTTATGACACAGAAATGGAACATTAATGTATCTTTGAAGTAAAACTAAAGGTATACTGCTGGTCTTGCCAACTGAAAGCAAAAGGCTTCTGGTTGTCTTTATAGACAGATACCAAGAAAAAGGCATTTTCTGAATCAATAGCTGCATACCATGTACCAGCAGATGTGTTGATCTCTTCAAGTAAGGACATTGCATCAGGAGTCACTATTTGTTTAAATTTTTGATAATTAACTGTCATTCTCCATGAACCATGTCTCTTTTGCCCTGGCCAGATAGGAAAACAAAGGGAAGAATTAATCCACCAACCCTGCACCTTTCAAATCCTTGATGGTGGCACTAGTTTCTGCAGTTCATGAGATTATAATACTGTCCTAAGCTCACTATTGTCTCTGGCAGAGGTAACTCCAATGGCTTCCATTTGGCGTTTCCAACCATAAGCCCTCATTCCACAGGTCAGAGAAATAATGTGAGAATTGTGCCAACTTCTAAGAATTTCTAACCCAATTATACATTCTGGAACTAGGAAAATAACTACAGGATGAGTTTAGGATGTACTAGACCTATTGTGAGTTGTACTTCAGCCAAAACTCCATTAATCATCTGACTTCCATAATGGATTGTCACAATGCTTCTTGAAGTTTCCAAAAACCAGTGTCAATTCTGAACCAGGATCCAATACAGCAATGAAAGTCTAATTGTCTCCTTTTTCCCAGTGTATAAAGGTCCTAAGTCTCTCTGGGGAAGCATTTGAGAAAGGCTAACAGTAAAACTCTTAGGTATTTTAACAAAGACTTGACTGTCCCTTCATTCAAGGGGTTCTGTGTCTGTAAACTGACTCAAGTCTGGAAACTGGTTCACAGGCCTTTTGGCAAAATCCAATGTAGCCTTTTTTCACTTATCTGAGAAATTTCTGCATATACAGATCAAACAAAAATGTAGTAGGCTTCTTATCTATTTTTGACTGGAAACATCATGACCAATTAACCAGTATCAAAGATCCATACAAGTTATTCCGCCATAAAAATCAATTTGCCCATGCTACTCATTATGTGACAGGCATCAGAGACATTGCTTTGCCTATGCTGCCTATTACAATAACTAAAATCACCTTGTCTTTAGTGATTTCAGTGATACCTACTTTTAGGCTCAATTAAACCCAATACATTTAAATTCATACAACTGAGCAGCAGTGTCTCTGACTCCAAGGAAAGGGTGAAGACAAAAGTCCTTGAATGTGTTAATGCCCCTCTCACCATTTTGCATAATATAGGAAGGATTAGTGAAGAACATGTCTTCTGGGCCTTCTCATTATGGAGGATAGGGTTCTACACAGCATAGCCACTCTAGCATTGCGATTTCCCTGAACATCAGCACTATGCCAAGGGATATCATACACCTCCAGCTCCCTTTCAGGAGGGCATCTTTGACAAATGCCCTGTGTCACTATTCAAACAGATGTTTGAAACTTTTTCTTAACTCTTTGAGCTTTAATATTAAACCTAGAATCTCCAATTAGATGGCTGTATTAGTATCAAAAAACTCAGCCTGATCTAGTTCTATGTTCCTTTATACTTCTGTTGCTCTAGAACAACTCCTGGCACTAATATCTGTATTAGTCAGGGGTCCCTAGAGAAACAGAGCTGATTAAATATATATGATATTTATTAGAGTGGCTTATGATCTGTGTTCCAACTGAATACATATGGTATTTATTAGATTGGCTTATGTCTGTGATCCAACTATCTAATAATGAGTGTCCTCTAATAGAAAGTCCAAGGATCACAAACCTTGATGTCTCAGCTGATCTTCACTATCCATTGGAATCCCAAAGTAGTAGGCTCCACTCTCAGTGAAGCCATCAACTCTCCGGGGAGACTGGGAGCAAGGAGATAACACAAAGGAGTGTCCCAGATATAAAGTGGGGTTCCCAACCTCAAATAATCCAACCAAGAAAAATCTTTTACCCAGCAGCTTGGATTTTAGTTAATATTGGATATAATCAAGGTGAAAACCAAGAGTAGCTATCATGCCCACCTTCTCTGGGAACCTGTCTCTACAGACATTAGAGAGACATACAGATTGCTTTGTTTTGTTCTGTCTCTTTTTTAAGTCTATACTAAGTTCAACACTTTTATCTTACAGAGCCAGATGGAATTTGAAGCCCAAGTATTCAAAGACCCACATGAATTCCATGATATGTGAATTCCAAAATGTACTGTATTGAGTAAGTCAAAAGGAGCCACATTAAGTTCATCTGTCCTTCTCAGCTCAGGAGATGCTGTAGTGAGATTCCATTCATTTGTACGTACCTTAGTCCAGGCCTTCTTCAGAGATGCTGGGTTTGGCAGGAGAGGTTGACATTGCTAAAGCTATTTTACTACATGGGCTATTAAGACACATACCTGTCAAAAACCTCCAGATTAATCAAAGCAATGAACAAATTATATAGTCATCCCCTATGGATACAAACAGTCTTCATGTCAGAAATAGTTTGAGTATACACGGAAATATTGTTGAAACTATGGAGCTTCCTTCATAGCAATAAGTGTTGAAGATGATACCCACAGAATAAGAACATGGCAGGCACTAGGGGCTATAGCATATGAAGGACAATGGAGCCTGTTTATTATGCTTTCTTCTGTTACATGAGGCTTTACCTTGCCAGCTCACAGGCATTGCAGGGCAAAGATTGTGTCACACATACCTTTCATGGCCACCATGGCAGTTACCCTTTTGCATATAATGTGCCCTCAATAAATATTTGAAATTGAATTACAAACAGTAAAGTGCTGTACAATTACCTCCTGTCCAACAGAGAGAGAGAGACAGAGACAGACAGACAGACAGACCGAGACAGAGAGACAGACAGACAGACCGAGACAGAGAGACAGAGAGACAAAGAGGAAGAGAGAGGAGCCAGAGAGAGGAGCCAGATCTGCTGTGTCCATAGGCCCAGCTTTCAATTAATCTCTGGAGGCATAGCAGACCCCCACATTGCAGTCAGATCCAATGACCCTCTCTGCTCTGGCTTCTAGTGTCACACCACTCTAACCTTACTGTAGTCCCTTCGCCACCACCATATTCAATGCCATCCATGTTATGGTTCCATACTGCCTGAATTTCCAGTCTACAACCTACTACTGGAATCATGTCATATTACATTCTATGTTGCCTGCCAGCTGTGGCATCTTAGACTCCTGTGGGTGCTGTGAGAATAAATGTGGCACTGAAATAGCTCCTCTCCCCAGGTTTCTGTAAGCTCCCTAATGCCCCTTGGTACTCACAGGAGAGTAACTGAGAGGGCCAACAATGTGTTACCTACTCATGCAGTATAAGAGCTCTAGATAACATGTCAAAAATGAAGTTCCCTTTCTTGTTATATATGCATTATTGATTTTGTGCAAAGGTTATATGGTATACAAAGAATTGACTGTTACTAATAAGTGCAAAACACAATTCTGTGAAATTAACTATGTTGATATAAGGGGCTTTGCATTAGTGTTCTCTCTATGACAGTTATAAATAATAAAGCAAACATTTTTTATATTTCTATTTTCATCCATTCATTCATTGGGAAATGACAGCCAAAATTATGTGTAATTAAGGTGTACATATGTGTATTTGTGTATACGTCTAAACAATTACTACTAAAAGTTAAGTAACATACTTGTCAACACATATCTGTTTAGCTTGAGTGCAATCTGCCCTCATGGTAAGTTTCAGGTGTATCAACTGTGTTTTCTGTTGAATAACTGAAACCCAGTACACCTTGACTAACACGCACTCCCTTCCACTTATTGGTGGTCACAACTCCCCACCACTTTCTGCTGCCATGAGATTCTTGACTTTGAATTCACATAAAAATGAGATTCTAGAGCTGAGTGTTGGTGGTGCAAGTCTTTAATTCCAGCACTCAGGAGGCAGAGGCAGGTGGATCTCTGTGAGTTCAAGGCCAGCCTGGTCTACAGAACGAATACCAGGACAGCCTCCAAAAAAAAATACAGAGAAACCCTGTCTCAAAAAACCAAAGAAAGAGAGAGAGAGAGAGAGAGAGAGAGAGATTCTATAGCACTCATTTTCTCCTGTGTGAGGCATTTTGTGCTTTTGTAATGTCCAACTTATCTACAGTATCACAAATGATATAAATTTTAAAAGCTGAGTATCATTCCATTTCAAAAGTATATGAAATAAATGGCTGTCGATCATGATATTACCTTTTTCTATTTGTCTAATGACAGGTTGTTTTGTAGCATGTTTGTTTATTTGTATCATGTCAATGCTGTGGAATAAATGCAGGATTCCAGTGTGTCTCTGTGTAATAGATTTGATTTCATTTCGTAGCTCTGTTTCCACTTTGCTGCACTCTTTTCCATGATGGTTGTCCTAATGCACGTTTCTACCAATGCCATGAGGGCTCTTTCCCATAACCTGTGTGCATATTTTTGCTATTTTTGTGGACCCTTCTAATGTTAGCCACTAAAATTGGGGAGGTGACAGCGTATTATGGTTTGGATCTGTGCTTCCTTGGAATGTGGCAACCTTGAGCATTTATTTTTATGTATTGTTGGTTGATTGTATATATTTGCAAAACATAAAGTTGGGGCCCTTGTTCAGTTTGCCATCTCATCTTCTTGTGTACTTGTGGTTCACCGAAAACTACTTCACTAGCTTAAGAAACTATAAAGCTTCAAAAATGTATTGACTAATATTCTGGCGTGTCTGCATTCACTTCTCCACACTTGCAGGCTTGCGTGTGATTGCATTGAAACTGCATCTCTGCCCTGAAACTGCATCTCTTCCAGATGCTGCATTGGGAACCCTTTCAGGTTGTTTAGTGTTTGTCCACAGTTGTTTTGTGTTCCATGTTTCAGAGCCACAGGCAGCATTGTATCACTGATCATTGTGTACATTTAAGTTATTCTAGTGTTTGACTAATGGTGAGAAACTTATAGGCTCATCTCACGGGCCTCACCACTGACTCTCTTTGAAGGGTTTGAAAAGTAAATTGTTTCATTGAAGTTATGTGTGGTCCTGTGGTTCTCACAAAGTTGCTCCTGGCCTATGAGAATATCAACCTCATTGATAAGAGCAGACTTTCCATTTCCCTCCCCAAAACCCTGGATAGTTTGCATCATTTATCTTATCACTAGAGCTGTTCTCTGCATGTCCTAGTTTGCTTTCTACTGCTGTGATAAAGTCCATGACCAGAATCAATTTGCGGGGGAAGGGGGTTTATTTCATACTACACTTCCAGGTAGCCATCCATCAGTGAGAGAAGTCAGGGTAAGGACTCAAGCAGGAACCTGGATGGAAGAAATGAAGCAGAAGCCATGGGGGAATGCTGCTTACTAGCTTTCTCCTCATAGATTGCTCAACCTGATTTCTTATATCACCCTGAAACACCTGTCCAGGGGTAGCACTGTGCACAGTGGATTGGGCCCTTCCACATCAATCATTAATCACAAAAGTGTCTCACAGACTTGCCTGTAGGCCCATTTTACAGAAGCATTTTCCCAGTCCTAGTTCCAGGTGTCACTGGTTTGTGTCAAGTAGACCAAAACCTAAATAACATACTGCATCTAAATTTTGATTGATTCTATATTGAGTTCCAAGTGAATAGCCCTCCTTTTAATGTAACTTTTTTTAATGTGACTAAAATGCCTTAAGTAAAGTCAGTGCACCTTCAGATGATGCTGACACATGAATCAAAGGGCACATGTACCTTGTCCTTTGGCTTCCCAGTATTCATGGAAGCACACCCTTTATGCTCCCATTACCATGTGAACAAATTTTGTCTTGTTACTACATCAAAGTTATTAGATTCTCTTAATTTTATTGCAGTGGCAACTCCAATGATTTCTAACAAACATCTCTTCACATGATACCAGGCATATCTAAACACACAGGGTTCTTTTGGAGGACCAGCTTTCTCCCTTCTGGCCCATCCCAAGACACATCTGTTGCTGCTCAGCTTGACCTGACTTACTATCAGAGAACAGCCAGCATTCAGGCTAGTCCCTGGTCTGCCCTGGGGTGACTGAGTTAGGATAATGGAAAGCATTTACAACTAGACAGTTTGGAGTATCATTCTATTTACCTTAAAGCTTCAGCTTTCCCTTTCCTGCTCTGTTCTTTAGAATTATCAAAAAGCCACCCTTGGCCCCTCTAGGATAAAAACACATTACCCCACAAGTAACACAAAGACTCTCATTGGAAAAGTACTTTTTGGTACCTACAGGATTTGCAAACCACCACTGAAAACTGGTAGCCCTGCATTCTTCCCCACAGATATCTCTGTGTACAAGACAGTACTTGCAGGAAACTAGGCCTCAATTGCTCACACCATGAAGTCATCCAACATGCATTAGTTTACCACTTTCTGTGATACAATGAGAGTCGATGTGGTCTAATTCAGTTGTCTGGACTCTCATCTTTTGTGTGAATGATGACCTCATATCAGGCATTGGCTGTATCATTACCTATCATAGGGTTCATGGATGGTGACCCCTCCCCTTCAACACACAGGTGTATTCATTTAAACCAAATGTTGATAAGAGGAATTAAAATCAAATATGGTACAAGCATGGCAAATAAGTTCCACATCTGACATGTTAGTGGCTCCTCAGGAATCATCATAACTCTTGCCAGACCTAATGCTCAGTTCTCACTAACTGAACAAAAGAAGTTTGATAATTGTGCTCATGGGAGGGGAATTACACAGAGAGGGTACAGAGGGGGTTGGAAGGGAGAAGGAAGGAGAGAGAAGAGAAATAAGTGGGGAGAGTAGAGAGGGAGAATAAGAAAGCCAGAGGTATGGCCCACCAGTGTACAATTTAAAGTTTGAAAAGTTAGTGAGGCAGGTAGTCACAGGAGATATCTTCCAGTGTGTGTTATCACTCAGTTACCAAATCAATTACATATGGAGCACATCTCAGGGAACATGGGGAATGTAAAAGCCATCAACATTGAGATGCTTTGGTCAGGGTAGCATCACCCTTGGGTAGCAGTTGGTAATTTATAACTTTATATCTCTTGCCTCCTATCTAGTTTTGCCAGGAAAATATTATCACCCTTAAGACATACATCCTCTTGTTTACTTTTACTTTCTTCGTGCCTACTCAGTTCCACACTGGCCCTATTATGTAGCCCTTGACAGACAGGCTCACTGGAGCAGGGGCTTGTTGGCTTAATAAGTATTTGAATGAAATACGGTCTGCTTCCCCCCTTAAAGTGAGGTGCAGTTTCCAATCTTCTTTCCACAAGTGGAGGGATATTGAGGTCTTTGCTGCTAGGAGTTGTATCACAAGGAGTCTGGAACTATGAATGGCCCATGAGGCTGAAAGCAGAGAATACAAAAATCTTCTTGGGAGTTAGAATCTTCTGCAAGGAACCGTCTGCCACCTCCACAAGCAGGAAAATACAGAACAGATTAGAATATACAAGCCATTGTGGAAATATTTCTTGGTGAATGCTTCATAAATATGCCACACAGCCTCAACTCTGCTTTCTACTCCACATTATCTCATCAATTTCCCACAAAAAACAGGAAGGTGGTAACATTATTGATTGCTTTCAGGCACAGATTGGGAAAGCTGGGCTTAGGTTAACCTCAAAATTTGATATTTGTCCATGACTGGCAATGAACATGCTCAAGATTTAGACTGTGGCTGTTGAGTTCTGACACTGAATAATTGTCTGAAGGAGCATGTACTCCTGTGGTCTCATGCCTCCTAATTGTGATCACAGAATAGTCTATATTCCTGAAGAATATGCAAATATATCCTTAAGGCTGCAGTTGGTGGCTGCATTAAAATACACATGCAATGGCAATCATAGCCTCTCCTTACCTCAGCACCTCTTCAGATTTCTTACTAGGAACCTAGCATGAAGCTGTGCCTGTGCCTTACAAGGCTTCCAGAGGAGTTGATAGCTATTCAGTGGTCCCCAGGCTTTCATTGCCTTGGTGAATACAAAGCCAGTCAACAGACAATGAAAAGAGAAGATAGCCTGGGCCATTGCTGGATTTTGGAAAATTAGAGAAGTTAAATTGGACTCCTCTATTAAAGGACAGGAAATATGCCTTTATAGCCAGTCATTGGTGATAACAGAAGGATTCTATCTGGAGAGGAAGATGACAAAAACAAGAGGCTTTGAGGACTAATTCTCAAACACCAGAAACTGTGGTAGGGTGTTTACTCATGCCAGTAAGAAGTCAAAGATACTAGTAATGAGTACAGTTTAAAAACCCCCAGTTCAAACTTTAATGTATCACGAAGGATGTAGCTCAGTGTAGAACACTTTCCTAGCGTGGCAGGAGGCATGTGGATTTTATTCTTACCACAACAAAAACAAAATAGGTCAAAGTGATTAAATGTGATTTTTGCACTGACCCCAGTGTATATTACAGAGAAATAAATAAAATGTATGGTTTGTAGGAACCCGTATAAATCGAAAAGCCTACATGAACTTATACACAAGTTAATGAATGCCACTGATCCAAATCTGGGCTCCAGTCTTCTTGCTAAAGTCTTAATTAGGTAGTATTCATTTCATCAAGAAATACAAGCCACTGCACTCCATGGATTTCTAATTACTTGACGTTGTATTTTAGCCATTTAAATGTAGAAGAAAGTCCAACAGACCTGGAACACTTATACACCAGGAAGTGAGCAGACTCCCTTTTTCCAGGTCCCTGGAATTATGTCTGAATTTCCAGATGATACATACATACTTCTGCCATTGCAACTAAATGGAAAAGCATGTGCAAAAGGGTTTCTTCCTGCCTTCAAGGAGTGCAACGCAGGAAATTACAGTGGTGGTTGTCTTGTGAAAGGAGGGGAAAGAAAGAGCAGAAAGGGAGAAAGTAAACAATGATAGGGTGAGGAGTAAGAGAAGAAGATTATCTAAGCAAAAAACATGGTTCTCTTGCATGAGTTTTCTTCTAAATACCAGTGGGAGAGAGGAGCAGGAGAGCTAAGGCTGGTGCGTATCTGTTTCTTTTGTGGGTGCATGATTACAGGACATCAGGTGGCTGGTACGGCAAGCTGGCCTCTCAAGGCTGTTGAGCAGGGCACAGGAGGTGGAATGGGGCAGCAGGATGTGGAGCAGGCCAGGGCCTGTACCAAGTCCCAGGTATGTGCTGAGAGGCAGGCGCTGGCCCGCAGCAGGTGCAGCACAGCCAGTGCTGAGCGGCCTCAGGAAAGGAAAACCTGCAGGTGCAGTCAGGACATGCCCTGAGCCTCCCCAGCCACGAGAGTTTTCTGAATAGCTATGCTATGCTCATTGTCTGTCTGCAAGATTATGGTTTG